ATTTATGGTTTGGGAGATTAATAAAGAAGTTTGGGTTTTGGTATGTTGAAGGCTATGATTTTTTTGGGATGGTATGAATGATAAATGTTGTGTTGTGTTGGGCTTCAGGTGGTGGGATAATGGGGACTGGGTGTGTATTTGTTGAGTTTATTGTCGTATTTTTTGTCTTTTGATTTGAACTTTTTTTTCTTTTATTTAATTTCATTTTCTCCCATACATGTGTAGTATGGTGTACCACATTAAATGATTTGATGTTATTTTATGATTTCTGAACTTATCAATATATATGTTTTGTGTTGCTGAATTTCTTGGTAAAAGCTTGCATGCACTGGGTTATTTCTATGATTGTGTTGGTTTATGGAAGTAGTGATTTTGATCAACATTTTGCAGCGAGTATAGTCTGTATAGATTCATTAGTTATTATTACGTTTAATGTAGTATTTTGTTTAATTTTTCATTTTTATTAGTAAAAGGGACTAGTGTATTTTGTTCTTTTTTCTTTCTTTTTTAGGCAATAGAAATGTATTTCAAGAACATTTTCACATGATATTATGGCAAACAAACAGGAAATAAAAAAATAATCTTGAATACATATTGACAAATTTTGATGTGAAAAATACAATTAAAAGGGACACACACATGGACATTTAGTTTATGTAGAAACTTGATTAATTTGGACTCAAAATACTATTCCCTCCTTTTTTTAATAAATATTATTTTAAAAAGTTGCACAGTAATTAAATTTTTTTTTTTTGTCAATAATAATCTTCATTAATGAGGATAGAGATGAAGAGTGAATATAATAAATGTCATTTTGAAAAGTTGCACAGTAATTAAGAATTTTTTCTTTGTCAATAATAACCTTCATTAATGAGGATAGAGATGAAGAGTGAATATGAAAAGACGTAGTGTATTTATTAACTAGATGAAGGTAATAATAGAAATATATACAAAAGATCCAAAACGTTATTTATTTGGTTAATTGTTGATAAAATCAAAATGACATTTATTAAAAAAAAGGAGGTAGTACTTATCAAACAAGGCCACAAAACCTCTGGTGTGGCAGCTGGATTATTTGTTTTGTAAGGTTTAATACTTGCATTACTTGTATAGATTTTGCTCGTACAAGAATGGAAAAGAAATATCTTATAAAAGAATCGGTTGCGAATCGGGTGATTTGAATGCGAGAGCTCGTATATAAGGGTTATACCATGAGAGCGCTCGTATATAAGGGTTGTACGAAGTGTACCCAATTCGAATGCAAGGGTTGTATCAAGTTCCATATGTACGAAGTGTACCCAATTCGAATAACTGCCACACAGCACGAAGAGAACAAATTTTACAGCTCAAAATGTAGCCAAGGCATGAGAAATTTGAGTCGATAACGAAACATATATTTAGTTCACATTCATAAAAATACCTATGAGATCGTTTCATGCTTTTCTTCAAGTGACAAAATTTTCGTCATTGTTGCCAAAATCATTAGCTTTTTCCATAATAATATAGCAAGAACTACACCTGTGGCTGAAGTATACTGAACATTTTTCCTAGTATTCATATTATATATTTCCTTTTCAATTTTTCCTCCCACATTCTTTTCTCTTCACTAATAAGCTTCTCCAACGACTCGTTTTGTTGTAACATTTCATGTACTTTGGTCGACTTCAGAAAACACGCCAGGATGAAACTTCCGGCCCAATGCTTCAACAGCAGCATTAATTCTCTTTATGTCCTGCCNACTCATATTTCATGAAAACCCATTTCAAGTTCAAGTTAAAGTTTATTTGGATTAAGAAATCTCATTCCAAAGCTAAAGTTACTTGCCTTTCCATCAAAAGTAATGATCAGAGGACCTTGCCTTGATTCCCGATAACACCCTACACACATAAAAAAAGGCGATGTTCGGTAGCACAGCAACAAAATAAAACACCTCAAAAGTCACGTAATGAACCAAAAATATTTCTTACCAAATAATATATCTGGAAATTCAAACCGAATTTCGGAAAGGGGTTGAGAAGCTTCCACCTGTGCATCATAAAATGGAAATTATTAAGTAGTTACACTGAAGTGCATTTTGTTATTACTTGAAAAAGATACTTTTTTTTTCCAAAAAAAGGAGAGGTTTTGCCAAACTCACGTCAGAAAGATTTGATGCCGCCAGTTTTTTGGACACAAATGGTTCACTAATTTGTTCATCGAATCTTATTAACTCAATCAAGCAATCCCACTCTTGGTCTAGCTCGGCTGCATTTGTTGCCGTAAGTATTATCACATTTTGGCATTTGATCTGTGAAACAGATAAAAATAAAAGTTAAAGATGATCAATAGTATTCCACTTTCAGATATATTAAAAAAAAAGGAACTAAAAGGAAATAGAAAAATGGAAACTGCTGAAAGGGGAAAAAAAACGTGCTGTTAATCCTCGGATAAAAGATTTTGACGCAACAATACTTACCAAAGGCACTTTCAGTTTCTCATGATGCAATAACTCGGTGATCCCTTCAGGCAAATGAGCCATCTAAAAATTAAAAATAGACAAAATCAACAGTCAACTACTGGTGGTAATAAATAGTATAATATCATATGCTGAGCAAATTTTTTTTTAAACCAAAATTCAGCTCTCACAAAAAATCCTTCTTTGACAAGATCGAAACTTTGGTAACGGTTTAACTTATATGCATTTAAATTGAGAATCACCTCGTTCCGATGTCCAGTGCACTTTTCTCCTATGAGATGCCTTAAATATTCCTCAAATTCTTCATCAGGAGCCTAAATTTCACAAGTATTTCGTGAACTATTTAGATGTCTCGAGCCAAAAATAGAATATTTTTTTAGAAAAAAATGTAAAAATTGTACCATTCTGACACCAAATGCCTTAGCGACACCAGCTATAGTGACGTCTGATGGTAATGGACCAACCCCTCCATATGCAAAAACCTGCAGTAAAGCTCACAAATATGTAATGGCTTAATAAAACTTGAAAAAATAAATTAAAAATATAGAATGTTTAAAAAAAAGGAAAAAAAAAATTACAATGTCATTTGTTGACTTTTGTCTCTCAACTTCATCCGCGACAGAATCAATCTGTAAATACGACCCCAAGCAAANATCATAAAAAGCTCGTAAATTTTAAATATGACGAGAACTCACATCATTTCTGGTAATTGCGGCATGTGAAACAGCCCAGCCTACAGAATGGAGCTTTCTACGCAAAACGGGTCCCACCCGATCCTCAGCAGTGCCAAATCTGAGCTATGGAATTAACAGAAAAAAGAATATTAATTTACCAAATCTATAGGTAATACTAAATTTATAATAATAAATTTTTTGTTAAATAATGAGTGTGGGGGCTCTAAGATTATGATAATGAGCAAGAAAAACTTACAGGATTTCATCCCCAACAGCAATGAGTGAGGCTGTGAAAGTACTTCTTCCTGCACATAAATCCTCATTTTTCGAGCCGTTAATATTATTGGCTGACGATGGCTGAGAAATAATTTTTTTAGCTCTGCCTGCTCTTTCTAATCTTCCATCAGAAAGTAAATATGCCGGTTTGAATTTATCTTCACTGTTGCTGGATTTGTTACAGCGCAGAAGTGCATTGGGAACCGTGTCGTGAATGCTACCAATTGAAGTATAACTGCAGAAACAAAAAGAACTACAAAATATATGGGAACTTATAGAAACACACAATCAAGCATATATGAATGAAGACCTATAAAATTTGATAATTGCATGTATAAATTTATAAGGCTCTCATTTCAAGAAAACTTGCGGAATTTGAAGGGGAGACTTACCCTTGATCATAAAGGCTGCAGTAGGGAACCTTGCAAGTCAAGAGAAAGGCCCAAACATCTCTGCCATACAAAAAAAAAAAATAAAAAAATGCTTTGATTTACGCTATACAGATGAAGAAAAGGATATAATAATAACCAACTCAAAATATAAAGCACATCCGCTTTCTCATCTTGGTGACTAATAAATGGCCAAATGTATTAATTAGAGTCATAGATAGTGAACCTTCCTTTAATGAGGATAAAGAAAAAGAATGTGATCTAATACTATTATATCGAATAAAAAGGTAGGTTGGCATGCAGATACCTACATATCATAGAATGTCCTAAAACTCAAGAAATAAAGGCGTATAAGACAATCTAGCACTTAATAAATATATATAAATTAACCTGTATGACCAATCCAAGATTGGATTCACTCTCATGAAAGGTGGCCATCCTGGTGAGCTAGGAGAGAATTGCTCTTGCCCCACCTAGCATATTATGACCAAAGCAAACAGAACAAAATTCAACTAGAAAAAAACTACATTATGGTACGTATATAAAGAAATATTGTTAATTTCTTCATGGTGTAGTATTTTCCTTTTCTTTCTCTTTTATATTCCCGTAAATATTAAAGTACGAGATCAAAATTAAACTAGAAAGAAACTACATTACGGTACGTATAAAGAAATATTGTTAATTTCTTCATGGTGTAGTATTTTCCATTTTCTTTCTCTTATATATTCCTCAAAATAATAAAGCACGAGATCAAAATTCAACTAGAAAGAAGCTAAATTATGACACATGTTGCATACCGCAGTTGGATCACCAATTCGGACACCAAGAAAAATCGCTCTAATAGGGTTAACCTTTAGAAGAGCCTCAAGGCCAGACTTGAAATCCAGGCGAATTATGTCCATCTGCAACTTGTAACTGCCAAAAATTCAGAAAAAAACGAGTATTAATCATCCGGTGAGTCGTAATATCATTGAAAGAAAACGAAATATGGAACTAAAGCATTACTCAATATCCAAGTAAAAGAACACTGAAAGATACAATATTCGATATTAGAGAGAGAGAGAGAGCACATACGCAGAAGCAGTATCATAAGTGAATGAGTTGATCTCAGGGAAGACAGTTGGGTTCTCAAAATAAATTGTCCTTACGGGAAATTTGTTTCCAGCTTCTCCCGAATCCAAGTTGGAACGATGCAAATAACAGCCAGCTCTAAGAAGGTGCAACAAAACCTATAAAAATTGAAGCCCGTTCTCTTAATAATATTGCACATTCATTGCACGAAAGAGATCCTAAGTTTGTTCTGAGGAAAATGTGCATGTATGAAACAAAAAAAGAAAAAACTTACAGTTGAATCCTTTCCTCCATTGAAACTAAAGGCAAGCTCGTCAACACTGTCAATAAAATTATTTTAGCTTAATAAAAATTTCCCTCGGGTGAGTCAAAAGGCAATGCTACATTTCCATTAAACTTAAAACACAACATCCTTTTTCTTTTTCTTTATCTCTTTCTCTTAATATCAATTATTCTCAAACAATTTCTTCTTAAAAGGATTCAAGTAATTTAATTATGAAAACTGACACAGAAAATTTAGTAACACATGATGCTGTTTTACGATAAAAGGAAATGGGACATACGAGTAAAGAGCAAGAGCCCTTTGTATAACATAGACGGCATTGTTGTATTTTGTCTTCAACCTTCTATCATCGCTCTCTTTTATTGCTTCATCAATTTCCATCTTCGACTTCTTGATTCACTCAAACTCTGTGAACGGTTGAACACAAGTATATCAACAACTGATTATAAGCTCCAGAAACTGACACGGGACATTTGATTGACTATCTTGTTCAGACTTCCACAAGTTTTCAAATTTAACAAAGTAACATTGAAACCCCACTGGCACCAAAAGTTCAATCTTTCTGTTCATTCATGAACTATCCATAGTTAATGGCTTAATGCCAACATTCAACGTGCAATATCCAAGAACTATCCAGTACGCTACAAAAATAATACACACNAAAAAATTTATTGAGGGCTTTAGTTTAACGAAGGATTAAATTTCTGTGCAAATCAATCTAAATCAAAACCAACATTCAATGTGCAATTTCCAAGAATTATCAAGTATGCTAGAAAGTAATACACACACAGACATTCACAACAAAATTCAATATTCATGCGAAATGAGACACGAGAAAAAGTCTATTTAAGTTCAACCATGGAAATTTCAATTTCTGTTCACGGAAATAACACTGACACCAAAACATCAAATCTTAAAAAAAAATTAAGAAAAAGAAAGAAAGAACTATTCATAGTTAAAACCAACCTTCAAACTGCAATTTTCAAGGACCATCAATAGTGCTAGCAAGTAATACACACACATACATTCACAAAAACAAAACGAAAAAAAAAAATAAAAAATCTTCATATGAAATGAGACACAACAGGATAAAAAAACCATTTGGGGTTTAAGTTTAACAATGGAATTTCAGTTTCTGTATACAATCCTTTAAAATGGTAGCAGCGGAAAACAAGTTCAAACCTGGAAATTGCGAAAGATAACATTCTAATGCGAGGGTTTAGGAATGGAATCTTACCTGGGCGTAAGAATGCTTACAAAATGGGAAGATCAATTTTTGGCCGTGTATTTGTGCTTTTTCTTCAGATAAAATAAAAATTTCTGGCAAATAGCCTAATGCTAGTTTATTTTATTTGTCATGCGCTTGACAAAACTGCAGATTTTTTCAAGAACGCAAGGGAAAAAAAAAGCGAAATTATTAAACTAGGCTTAATGATTATAGCTTTATTTAGTAGTCAAATGCTCTCATAAAAAATTTCATCAAGATCTTGGTTTTATGAAAATCAAAATTCGGGGATAAATTTAAAATTCATTTAATTAAATTGATGAGTTATGAATCCGATTCAGATGCATTATTTCATATATTTTGTATTTCATCCCTTTTTTTTTTTTACCTTTTTTTAATTAAATCCAAAACGAAATCCGGCATGAGAGTTTTGCGACCCAAATTGGACCGATGGGTCAGATCTGAGTGGGTCATTTGGACCTGTCAACAATTAAATTAGCCAAAGTTTGATTTATAACCCAACTCGCCCTTGACTGGTCGACCCAAAAACTGATTCAGTTGCGTCAGTCAACCCACTTTGGCCCTATCAATAAAATAAAATTATGTGTGTATATATTTATATAGTAAATATTTATAACCAGATATATATTATTGAAATTTTAAGGTACAAAACCCATCTAAATTAGTAGTTTTTTAATTTATTGTATATTTACAACATAAAAATAATATATTAAAAAGTTTTAAAATTAATTATCTAATTCAATAATTAATCCAGTGAGAACAATTGAACCTCATCGGACCAGTATGAAAACATTGCCCACGTCCAAAATTCCAGTCATTGCATATCCATGAACACTCAAAATGAAACTATTGTATATAAAACAATATTACTTCGGAAAAAAAAGGTCTAATTCGAATTATTTATCAAGACAATCTGCACTCGAACTTCACATAATAATAAATAATCATCAGTAATACACAGATTAATTTCTACATTCTCAATCTCTTAGCTGCTGTGTATATAGCTGCAGAGTATCCTCACTCAAACAGCTCAGTAGTTTCGAATGCAAACCGCGGACATACTTCACATCACGAATAGGATTGCTCGTGAGTTTAAGTCGACCAGAATCCGATAAAAACGGCAAGTCATACAGCACGAGTTCACCAGTCGACTCTTCTCCAGAAGCAAATGAACGGTTTTCGTACATCCCATCAATAATGGCAGACTTAGGGAGTCTAATATCACTCACTTTGGCACAAATAGCTCGAAATTTTTCGTAACCAGAAGTGTTTTTTTCATAATAGATGTGCGTTCCCCATGTCCCTTGCCAGGCTGCACTTTGTGTCGGTTGAGAAATAGTGAAGCCATCGATTATCTCGATTTTAGGACGATATGAAGCGACAATATCGTCACTGGTTTTACAGTGAGCTAGAGAAATACAAACCCCTTGCTCGTCTGATCCGGGAATTAAGTATGGCCTAAAATCACCAAATGAAAGAGGGAAAAAAAATTGAATGAGTGAACACGATTGTACGTAGTTCTTCAAAAATTGTCAGCACGACCAAACAAGAACATCTAATGGATTATTTCTTTAAAGGAAAAAACTGATTTTTCCCCACCTTTAACTTCTTCCAGTCATCATTATTCGGTTGGGAAAGGATGAATAGCAGAAAATAGCTACTAAAACTTACCTTTCTTGATTTACACCAAAATCCCATTGACATAAGCCAAGTGAAGATGCCGTTAGGATGTTTTTGGTTAGAACGTTTCTGGTAGAAGAACTGCGAGATGAAGAGGGTGAAAGAGAATATAATGAATGGACTGGATTGCAAGTCAACCCATTCAAGGATTCTACATATCTCGTGGTGTGACGAACGTCAAACTGCAAAACCGTGCCATTCTGCATGCATATATTAACTTTTTTTTTTTATAAAATGAACGTAAAGTGGAAACGGAAAAGAAAAAATAAATGGGAAGGATGCGCGAAATTTAAAACCTGCAAGCCCGTGTACACGTAATGAGAATCGGAAACATCCCATGAACATGACCAGGCAGCAGCCTGAAAAGTAAAAAATCGAACTCATCTAAGCATTTGTTTAAATACAGTCAAGCAAAAATCAAACTAATTAATCTGAAAAGTACAAGATGAAGACGATGGTTAGAGCTATTACCTGCAAATCCCAAGTAAGAACAGTATTGTTGCTCTCTGTGCTGGAACACCAGTAAAAAAGACAAAAGACACAGTGATCAAAGCTGCTAAATTGCACCAATTTCATATTATTTCATATGTGTGAATGTGTGTGTAGAGAAAGAGAAATCACCTAACCAATTTCATATTATTTCATATGTGTGAATGTGTGTGTAGAGAAAGAGAAATCACCTAACAACTGATAGCTTTTTTCCCAAGGATGCCAACAGCACTAATCTAGCATCCGGAGAAAGTCGCAGGTCCTTAACAGCTTTTGTGTTCTCAGGGAGCCGAATGTCTTCCTTCTCGTTACTATGTAACACGCATACCTAGAATTCTCCAAATAAGTTAATATGGATGTTGGCATATATTAGTTACATTAGAAATATCAAATTTATTATCAACAGCCAAAAACAGTTGCTCGAACAAATCATTTTCCAGAAGACGCTGAAAACTTACTTTCGTTAACACGTGCATTCCCCCCATTCCTAGAAGCCTTCGAGCAAATATATAGTTCTCACTCAAAGAATCAACGTCAAAGAGTCGAGCCCCATCTATCTGGAAGTTCTTCTACAGAATGATAATACACATCGGTAGACATTAGTTATAAGGTTAGTGGTTAATAGAACAATGGAGCAACTCCAGCAAAATAGACTTTTGTGGATTGGCACTCGAGTTCCAAGAGTTTTCTGTGCTTTCTTGCATCAATTTCAAAGTGGTACCTTTGGTAAATTTTCTGGGATTTCAATAGGAGATGAGCACAAATAACATGTTCTTTTTCACCATTCAATCAATAAAAAAGTTGAATAATAAAATAAAGTAAATAACTCAAGATTAATACTATCAAAATATCAATACCTACTCATGTAATTGGCTTAACCTATGCCTGTGTGTCAAATCTACTTAAATTAAAATTGCCAGAAAAAAAACATGAGAATGGGCACCTGTATTGTATATTCATTTGAACATCCTTGCATGTGAAAATTACTGCTAGCATCAGGTCCTGCATGTCAAGTACCACAAGTACCAAAAGAAAAACATAAGAGTACATGAGAACTAAAACAAACAGAGAAAGCAACTAACGAACTTTTATTTCATGCATGATTACCTAAGGTTGATTTTCCTAGAGAATTCCAATTGGATGAAGATGATCCTGAAGCTCTACATTCCTCATTTTTTAGAAGGACCTCCAGGTTTCGAGTCCGCTATAAGGACGGAGTTTAGCAACACAGTAATGAAATTTTATACGACTCACATATAACAAAGAAATACAAAAAGAAAATGAAGCGAAGAAACCAAGGTGTCAAGCAATAACCAGTAACTGATCATTTCGACATTTCAAAAATTTAAGAAAGTTCATACTAAATAGAAACGACCCATTCAAGATAACAATAATGCTAATATGTGATTATAAAAATCATATGGAAACAAAAAAGGAAAAAATTTGTGATCATTAGACACCAGTTTATGGATTACTTTGCCAACAAGGTGATAGTTTCCACATTCATGCAAAAACTGAAAACCAAAATAGAACTGAATATTCGATATATAATGTTGTGGACATCAATTGTTCATATTCATAGCAATAAGTATCTGTCGGTAAACACCCCGCAAAAGGCAGAAAAATCATCTTAATTATAACGATAATTGCTAAGGATAAGAATTATTATAATTTAAAATATATAATGATGATGGCAACGATTGCACCAATATCCATTTTGGCCAGTAATTATCTATTAATGCGGACAGAACACATTATTTAGACATAAGATCCTCTGCCAAAGGAAAAAAAAACGTACACTCACAAATACCATAAATCAGACAACATAATAAGATGAAAAAATCAGATATGCATATACCTCTTCAAGATATTGAACTTGCTTGCACAAATCACTTTCTTTTTTCTTCCATTCCAGTTCCTTATTAAACCACTCAGCGCCCTGCAAAATGTCAATGCACAGCAAGAACAAGGACAGTAAATGTCGAAATTGAAAACATAATAACTTCAAATAACAAATGGTAATAATTCTTTCTATGATGATGCTGTGTCCCTATACTTCCCTTATAAAAATGTTAAACCTTAGAATCACCTAGTAAACAGACAATATAATATTTTCATCATGGAGAAATTGCATTCGAAGGCCGGAAAAATGTATTCCTGCTTAACATAGAGCAGTCAATGAGAATTAATAAATACGACAAACTTCAATCTCCAGAATATATCAAGAATTTGCATGGAAAATGTAAAGCTCCACTTGCTCCAAAGAAATTGAATTGTGTAATCATGAATTCTCATATGATAAGAAAAATGTCCCCATTCTGTAGATTTATCTTATCTTAAGACTCAGAATTAATTCTAGTGGACGACAAGAAAGTAAGGGTACGTATAAAAGGAAGACATCAATGAAGGCAAAGTTAATCGACAACCAGTAGAATCTCAACTCCACAAATTATGGCAAGGTTTTCCATTTCCTGATTTACCCAAGATAAGGTTAATCACCATATCCAAAAAACATAGTCCAACGTTTATTTAGAAAGTAAAAGAAATTCACACGTCAGACTACAAAATTTTACACTGTCCAGCCAATCAAAAGACTGAATTACATATCTTATTACCCACTTTTATGAGGAGAAGGAGACAAATCCAAACAAATAACAGTGTAGTCGATTTTTTTTACATACCATCCAGCTATACTGAATTGACTTAAAATTAGAAATCAAGGATATCAGGCAGAAAAGATCAAGAACTAACCAGCAACAATAATAAACCACATATCTAGTTCAAGCATTCATTATTCACTGATCAAACACATGAGTTAATGAGGAAAACATGAAAAAGGGGAAAAAAGGAGTGAGGATAATGGAGTTGGAGAATGTTGGTGACCAATTTTTTCCAAGAGACAAATACATGCAAATAAAGATTCCTTCGGGTTTTTCCTCCTCTATCAAGTTGCTAGATAAAATGCCATATTAATTTTGTGTACGAATTGTATGAACAAAATGATCCTTAAACTACACAAAAAATGCATAAGTTTCATGAAACATAAAATTAATCACTCTACTTTCTTGCATTGTTATCACCTGTTTCTCAAGAGATGCACATTTAGCTTCAAGTGATCGTACTGTCTGTAGAGAGAGAGAGAAAACAGAAAACGCAAGTTGCAATTCAGTTACTCAAAATAATAATAATTAAAAAAAAAAGGTATTCCATAGTTTGTGCATAATCTAGGCAGAAAAAACACCTTCTGAAGCTCCCCATCAATGGCAACTATTTGCGTAGCATAAAGTAGACGAATGTCTTTCACCCGACAGTTCTTTTTACATTGAGGGCACTAAAACACAAAGATATCAACAAGAAATTGGATGTTATAAGCTCAACCATGCAAATTCCACAATAATTCACATGAATTATAGCTCAAAACACTAATCAAACCTTGCTCGAGCCTCGACGAGCNGAAATACATTCACAATATATTCAGATTTTATGGAAAAAAAGAAAAAAATAAAGAAAAAATAGCCCATTACCATATATGGTGATCACCACCAGAAGACCAGGCTTCAAAGCAGATGGGGCAAAATAATCCATCCACTTCACCTCTGTTGAACTCTCCAAATTCTCCACCATCCTTGCCCTTCAACGACGCCGTTTCACCCCCTTTACCACTACCACTGACCCTCCCCTTTTTGCAGCCTCTTTCACGCTCAGCCTCCTCCGTGGCGTCATCGTCTTCAATAATCACAACTTCTCCAGACGGCGTCGTGCCCGTAGTGACACTGATACCGTCACCGTTGTTACCATTCAATTCACCCTCCTCCGCGCCGTCGCCGTTATCATCTTCATCTTCCGTCTCTTCTTCTCCTTCGTTTTCATCTTCCTCTTCTTCTTCTTCGTCTTGTTCCTCTTCTTCTTCTTCTTCTTCTTCTTCGTTTTGTTCCTCTTCTTCTTCTTCTACGTTTTGTTCCTCTTCTTGGTACTCTTCGTCGTCGTCGTTTTCAAATCCTTCCACTCCTATCTGGAACAATAGATAATATCTGTAATCGTGATCCATGGGAATTGTTCATAATCTGGATCGAGCAATGGAAGTTAGGGTTTTGGGTTCGGACATTTCACATTTGAGGGATTTTTTTCTTTTTTTGCTGAAGAGTTGAATTTGCCGATTTTGGTTATCAAAAGCAGTTTGAAAGAGAGGGAACAAAATCGCCCAAGCGGGAAGCACAAGTTGAATTTTTCATAAACTGCTTAATTACAAAAATTCCCCATATTTTCACGCCCGTTGGTGTTGGGGCTCGACCCGGCGGATGAAATGGTCACAAATTATCCAATTGACACGTGGTATACTAATATGTCAAAACTTTTTATTTTCTAAAAAATCCCCCTTATATATTAATTCTATGTGGCAGGCTCGCATGTTTCGGGATCTTATATGACAAAATTACATGTTTCGTTATTAGGCTTGGATAGATTTAAATTTACTTCTAATCCAAAAATATTTAGGTTCGGATTATCTATTAATATGTTGATTATTTATGGTAAGGGTGAGCGCGGTCCAGGACGGTCCTGGATTTGATTTGTCCGGATACCCATCCCACTTTTATGAATCCGTCCATAAACGATCCGGGATAAATAAGCACCGTCCCCACCCATGTAATACATGGGTGTTGTACTAGTATGTATTTATTTTAAAGAAAATAATATGATTTGTAAATATTTTTTTGGAGGAGGAATAAAAAATAAAATTGCTTGATTGAAATATTAATTATGAGTTTAAAAAGATAATTTTTTAACTTGTAATATTTAAATATTACAAAATTGAGGAGTTATTGTGATCTCTCGACGTTAGTTCGGACTCGACCCAACTTTGATAGTAGTATTTATGTCATCCAACACTAAATTTTCTTCGGCTCCTCCAAGAGAAAATCAATATCTACAATTAGAAAAATGCTAAAATATACATTATCTGGCAATAGCTTGATATTTCATATGTTGATTCCCTCTTGAAGAAGTCGAAAATTTGCATATTTTATCTTGGGTGATCGTAACCTGAAAGCACATGTCATAGATCTTGGTAGACTTGTAAGTTGTACCCAACCGACGACTTTGTTCGTCAAGACTTATCAATAAGTTTCGACAAACAAGACCATGTTTTGGGCATGAGATTACCATAATAGAGAAGATGAAGAATTGTGTGGAAAAACGAGTTGGATACTTATAGGTAAAAAACCAGTGAACTCATCAATTCCAGGTGCATGACTCGTCGGGGCTGACAAATTCAAATCATAAATCTTCCAACAGTAGATGATCCAATAGTCAAAATTAAAAATCTAACAATTGATTGTCTAATGGTTAAGGGTTCAGTTTGTATCTATTTGGAATTGGCTATTTGATTTCAAATTCAAATTCGAAATTTCAAGTTTTAAAAGAAACGATTTGGGGCAAGAAACCGATCGAGTTGCCTCAGCTTCGTGTTGGACCTTAAACCACTTGGCTAGTGAGTTTGTTTTTATTTTAAGACGACCCATAATTGGTTCACCCGTTACACAGTTATGGGCTTGGGCCCGAAACTGGGAGTTAGGCGTACTAGCCCGATCCAGTGGCCATGTATGTTAAAAGCTAAGCCCCTTTTGGCTAGCTCTCCTAGTTCCTGTTGTTCCAGAATTTCATTCATTAATTTATTATAATTTAGAGTATTATAAAATTATTTAAAAAAAAATTAAAAAATAAAAAACGCAGTCTTTAGAGACCGAACTATCTTGTTTATTATCTATCTATTTAGTCAGGTGCACTTCCTACATAGGAGAAATTAGTGCTCTTTGTTGTTTTCTGATGTTCCGATAATCCTACCCAACTAAAAATTAAAGTTAATCGTTGTTTACTCGATTAATTAGTGTTATAATATCACTTGTGAGTTGTCTCACATCGTTCATATATGGAAAATAGACACACCTTATAAGACTAATGGGCTACTCTTCCTTCCACCAATTGGTTTTGGAATGGAACCCCACTTGGGCTTCATATGGGCTTTTCCCCGTTCATGGTGCGCTTCATGGTAGTGGGCCTGCACCAGTTTTCCCCCAGTTTCTGTCGATGACGTACCCGTCACCCAGCCAGTTGGACTTAGGCTTTCGAAGGACTCACAAGTGAGAAGGCGTGTTAGAATATCACTTGTGAGTTGTCCCACATCGTTCATACATGAAAAATAGACACACTTTATAAGTCTAATGAGCTACTCCTCCTTCCACCAATTGGTTTTGGGATGGAACCCTATTTTGAGTTTCATATGGGCTTTTCCCGTTTTCCCATGGTGCGCTTCATGTTAGTGGGCCCGCACCCGTTTTCCCCTAGATTCTGTCATGGTATCAGAGTCGATGGTATCAGAGTCGGTTCTATTGGTGACCGTGCAATGACATACCCGTCACCCAGCCTAGTTGGGCTTGGGCTTTCGAATGACTCACAAGTGAGGGGCATGTTAGAATATCACTTGTGAGTTGTCCCACATTCATACATGGAAAATAGACCTACCTTATAATACTAATGGGCTACTCCTCCTTCCACCAATTGGTTTTGGAATGGAACCTCATTTGAGCTTCATATGGACTTTTCCCCGTTTATGGTGCGCTTCATGGTAGTGGATCCGCACACGTTTTTCTCTAGTTTCTGTCAATTAGTAATTAGTGATGCTCATCGACTTCTTTGTTTCAATGCAAATTCTCGTGTACGGTTGAGTGGATTATTATTTATATATCCAAAGCATTTTATAGATTATAAAAAAAAA